CGACTAATTAACTCATTGAGTACATTGATTTTCAAGCCGGCTAGTCTGCCATCTATTCAAGCTCTGAAAAGGGCGAAATTGGGTGATGATCAAGATCATCTCTTGCCATTCAAAAAGAGGAGCAGGCTGGAGGATTTGACTTCAACTTTAGAGAAACAATGTAGTACTTGTTCGGATGGGTTTGTAGATGGTGAAGAGGTTGCCTCGATGCCTTGCGGACATGTTTACCATGATGGTTGCATCGCTAGGTGGTTAGAGATCAGTTACATGTGCCCTTTCTGTACATCAAATCACTTGTTTAAGCATATTATTGAAATTACTCGAGAGAGAATGTAAAATTTTATATATTATAATTTAATTGTGAGAATAATGAATAGAATAAGTTTATAACTGAAGGAGTAAATTTTTCAAATTTTATTTCAATGTTGATGTAATCAAATTTTGTTAATCATGATAATTTTAATTATGATAATTATTTTATATCTTTTGTGTTGCTAATTAATGAGAGTCTAATTTATTTTTCTTTATAAAAATATCCATAGTTCATTGATATTTTTAATATGCATTAATATTTATGGTGTCAAAATTTCAATTATAAGTATGTAATTGAAAAATGAAATGTTCTTTGTACAAACACACATTATTCGAATATTAATATAATTTTTAATGAAAATTATATCAATAAAATTACGAGATATAATAATCATTTACTTTGGACTTTGCATTTTCAATTTCATTTGTATTTTTTTCCATTTTCGTTTAAAGTCACTAACATTTTGAGAAAGTAATAAAATTAGTTCTTATTTTATTACTTTCTTTCCCTCTTTTTGGGCTCAGCTCTAAGGTTATTGGATTATTTTGGGATCGAAGGTGCCTTCTTACTTGTAGACACCCACCCTTACTTCCAGAACCTTTGATAATGATCCCAAATTAAACACAGAAGCACCTACAACCCTCCATTGATGAAACTTGAGATTCTACAACCGCTTTAATCCTCGTAATTAAATAAAAGTCAAACAAACCCAAAAACAAAAGAAGCAACCAAAGGCTAATTCAACAAGAAAGCAATATTCTTTTTCTTTGTGGATAAATTAGAATTGGGATTGGTTAATGAATTAATAATAAGACTAATTATGAGTGGCATTTTATGTAGTGAGTAATAATTGTGAATTGATTGGTTATAAATGCAAAATTCCCACACGCCGTGAGAAGTGTACTCCGAATGGGATAAGAAGTTAAACTTGTAAAAGGAAACGACAAGGAAATAAACCAGAAGGGGTTCCCATTAAAGGAGTCAGACTTCGGGCGTCCAGTTAGATTTCAATAGTTAGCTTTCAAGATTCGAAGCTTTCTGCCTCTAAACCGTCGTCAAAACCCCCAACTTTACCTGGAAGACCTGTTTTTGAACTAATCGACAAACAAGAAAAACCCATAGAAGAGATTCCAACATACTGCCATGGCTTCCAACTCTTCCAGCCAAGAAAACGATAATCGTTTAGAACAAAACTGCTCTGTCTTCAACATCCAGATGGAATTTCATTACGTTTCACCTCTCAACTTGGAAACAACGTCCATAGAAACTCAATGTGTAATGTGTCCTAGTGACATGTTTTTATCTGAAGAGCACGGTCCAGACATTTTACTTTCAATATTGTCAGCCAACACTGCTGTTCCTCTGGAAACCCTTCAAACCGTCATTGTTCCCGGTATCTTGTCTTTTGCACGGAAGATTGATGCTGATCCTGTTAACCTTGGACGTAAAATAATAAAATTTGGTGTGGAAATATTTCTTCCAGAACCCGATGATGAGGTGATTGATGACTCATTGAGTACATTGAATTTCAAGCCTGCTAGTCGGTCATCTATTCAAGCTCTGAAAAGGATGAAATTGGGTGACGATCAAGATCATCTCTTACCATTCAAAAAGGGAAGAAGGCTTGAGGGTTTGACTTCAAGTACTTCAGAGAAAGAATGTAGTATCTGTTTGGATGAGTTTTCGCATGGTGAAGAGGTTGTGTTGATGCCTTGCGGACATGTTTACCATGATGGCTGCATCGTTAGGTGGTTGGAGGCGAGTCACTTGTGTCCCTTGTGTCGATACAAGATGCCAAGTTGATTGGATTTTTGATCTCTCCTAAACAACGTCAAATCACTTTTTTGAGTATATTGTTGAATTTATTTGAGAGAAAATGTAAAATTTTATATATTAGAATCTTATTGCGAAAATTAACGATGAATAGTATAAATTTCTAATTGATGGAATAAATTTTTCAAATTTTATTTCAATATTGATGTAATCAAATTTTGTTAATTATAATAATTTTAATTATGATCGTTATATTATTTTATATATTTTGTGTTGGTAATTGATGCGTGAGTACTTTCTTTTTTTTAATAGAAATCACATACAATTTAACAAAATTTTTTAAAATTATCCATATAATTCAGTGATATTTTTAATATGAATTAATAATATTTATGGTGTCAAAATTTCAATTATGAGCATATAATTGAAAAATTAAATGATAGTTATATAAACAATGTATAAAAATAAAATGTTCTTTGAATAAAAGCATATTATTCGAATATTAATAAATTTTATAAAACATTATATCAATAAAATTAACATTAAAATTAATTAATCTTCAATTAGAAAGTTCCAATCTAAAGATAAAATGAGCTTACGAGATAATAAAAATTTTACTTTGGGCTTTGTATTTTCAATTTCATTTGTATTTTTTTTTATTTTCGTTTAAAATCATTACAATTATGAGAAAGTAATAAAATTAGTTCTTGCTGTCCCTCTCTTTATTGTTATTTTTGGGCTCAGCCCTAAGGTTATTGGATTTTGGATTGCAGGTGTCTTCTTACTTGTAGACACCCACCCACAGTTCCAGAACCTTTGATAATACATATTCCCAAATTAAACACAGAAGCACCTAGAGCCCTCCATTGATGAAACTTGAGATTCTGCAACCGCTTTAATCCTCATAAATAAAAGGCAAAACCACCATAACTCAAAAACCTCAAACAAACCCAGAAACAAAAGAAGCAACCAAAGATGTTCTTTTTCTTTGTGGGTGGATTAGAGCAACAAGTGAGGCGAGTGCTGAAATCGGGTGTGGGCAGGTGCATAAACTGTAATTCAAGAGCTGATCTTGTCGAGTACGAGAAAGTGTTGAAGCTTTTCTTTGTGCCCGTTTGGAGATGGCCAGGAAAAGACCCTCTCATGCACTGTAACAACTGCAACCTCTTTTTCCCTCGGGATTTGTCTTTTCCACCTCCCAAGGTTGATTCATCATCTGCTGCCGTTTCAGAGGCTTTGCGTTGTCGTTTTTGTGACCGGCTTGTTGAGCCTGAGTTCAGATTCTGCCCCATTTGTGGCTCTGCTGTCTAATTTTCCTTTTGCGGGGAGGGCTTGAATTTATTTTATGCTAATTAATTAGAAGAGGCAGTTTCAAACAGAAAGCAATAAGATTGCAATTTCTGTATAGTGGTAAGTACCGTCAGGGTTTTTGAATTTCTTTTTTGAATGTATTTGTCTAGTTTATATAAAAATGGGATTGAGTGATCCAAATTAAACAAAGTTATGCAGCATATTTTGCCTGTTTGCATTAGCTCAAAAATCTAAACTGCTGTTCATCTTTCAAACCCTGGGGAGTAAGATGTTGATTAGTTTAAGAAAATCACTCGCAAATCTTGGGAACTTTCATTAAACGTCAGATGTTATAGTACAACAGAATTTTCCTGCCGCAGGGTAAGAGATCAATACTGGCTTCTGAGGCCAAAAAACCAATCTTTGTGATCATTTCTCTGGTCTGGGGTTATCAAAGAAGGAAGAAATATGGGGGTTATGACTGTACACAAAACCTACATAACTAGTGTATTATTTTACCGGGCTTGTGTAGAGACCAACTCTTGTCTGTTTCAGATAAAGACACAGTTTCTTCTAAACTTCCTTGGCTGTCTACAATGTAAACCTTAAAAACATCTGATTGTGTTAGATCCTTGAGAGTACGACTGTCGGTCCAGACAATGTGAGAAGAGATGTTAAATTGGTTGCTAGAGTTACAATCTACATTGATTTGCTGAAGGGTAATTGCTTAGCTCCTAGTTCAACAGCATCCCTTCACAATCTGTATTTCACTCCAAGACTACTGGCCAATTCCAGACATTTGCCCCATTGAGCATATGCTCTTGCTGGCCAATCTCAAGTCGCTGATCCTCATTCAATGCCTGTATTGGTTACACATAAAAGGTCGGACCAGAAATATTAGTGACAAACAAGGTAAGCAGATATTAGACATGTTATTCAAACGCCAATGATGCAGAGGAAAGACTGGCTAATATAATACTTCTTGCCACCAGCATGGTTTTAATACTTTAGTCATTAAAAACCATATTACAGATAAATAGAAAGGAAAAAGTGTTTTGAGAAGCAGTCTGAAGATGGCATGTTGCATACTACTTGTGAGCAATTTAGTAACAAAAACCATATATATCTTATGTAAGGTTCTACACAGAAATGTTGAAGTTTTCTGCTTCCAGAAGGTTATTCATCAGTGGTATAACAAGAATGTTGATTATTAGCTATAAAAGTGACCATTCTTTTCAGCAAGCTACTTGTTTATAAAACCACAGAAGAATTCTCGTAGGTTTCAGTGAGTAATTAATTGAATTTCAGCTAAAACCACCAACCTACTGCCCAAAGAAAGGAAAAACAAGATATTTTTTACCTGATCTGCAAAATGACTCCATAAATAATGCATTAAAGGATCGTGGTTCAATATGGGAGCAAAATCTAGGGACATTCTATATAATAGTCTTGTCTTCTTTCTTGATGAAGGTGCGCATACATGAAGCTGGTGAAGGTGCTGTGCATTCCTTGTACTCTGTCCTTCTAGTCTCCCAGGCTTTGATATCCATCAGGTCAGTACATAGAACTTCCCTCTCATGCAAACTGAGATAATGATTGATAAAAAAACCTGTGTGAAATGTTCAACCAAAATAGCCATGGATTTCTATTTCTTATATAGTCCTTTTTCTATTTTTGTGCACTTTCCGTTTTACATAACTCAGATCTACCCCAAAATTCTTTCGGCCTGCTTCATTTAAAGTTTTCTCATTCTGTGTAATAGAGAGGGAGGATAGGTGTTTTTGGTGACTGCAAATTTATGCTTTGTCTGTAACTATGAAGCACATAGCTTCTGGACGGTTGCTGCTATGCTTGTTGGTTCCTTATTGTCTGAGTTGATGCTGTATTGTAGAGGGAAAAAAACAAATGTGTATAAATTGGAATTGGTTAATGAATTAATAGTAAGAGTAATTATCAGGAAACTGATTAGAGAATTATGACAGAATGATTAGATAATCAAAATGCTTATAAAGCTGGAAATACAGCAAATTCCCACTCTCTGCGAGGACCAAAAATAAGAGAGAATGTATGTTATTATTTGTTATTGATCAATGAATGTAACTTGTTTTTGTAATTTGAAGAGGAGAATTGGAATTTTACTTTTGGACCGGCAGATGATATAAAAAAGGAAAAACAACCATGATCAACGACTTGACACTTTTTATTTATTAATATTGTATTTATATAATAATATTTAAAACTATAGGAAAGAGGAAAGTAAATATGCAATGTCTCAAAGTTGATCATAGAAAAAAAAAAAAAGAATTAAGTTGTTGAAGAAGAATGCTACCGAACAAGTAAATATTGTACCTATAAAACATGTAAAAAAAGTTTACTAGAATAGTTAGTTATAATGTTCTCCACATGTGGCTAATTAAAGAGTTTTTAGTTTTTACTGTGCGTTGGATTTCGAATCCATTTCGCACATGGGTCATAGACCCACCAACCTTCTAGGTCTAAGGAGTAAGGACAAATCAAATTATACATAAAACCAAAAAAGTAGAATGATAATAAAAATAAAATAAAATAAAATTTATAATAAAATGGGACCAAGTCCTGGACAAGTATGGTGTGTAGGCCTCCTCTTAAATCAAATGTTTCTTTTATGCAGTCTTTAAAAATTTGAGATAATTTTCCTTAATTGTCTTTGATTCATTATTGATATTATACTTTGTTGAAGAATAGAATATAAAAATTTTAAAATCAAATTATTAACACATGTATACACTGAATATGTTTCATTATGATTCCATGGCCCTAAATCTTCACTCCAAAATCTTATAATATCATAAGCAGCAATAATTTTTAGTCTAAAATCTTTTTGTCGGCTTCATTTTGTATTGGAAATGAAAAAACAAAAA